AAGAAGATTGTGAATAGGGTTAGTGCAAGAACGCAACCTTGTTTCACATCATTAGTTATTAGAAAGGGCTCAGAAAGTGCATTGCCATATCTGACTTGGCCGTGCTGATCCTCATGGAGTGAGATGATCACTCCCAAGGAACTTGGGAGGACAACCTAAATGTTCCAAAATCTACCGTAGACCTTTTTTGCTCACAGTATTGAAAGCCTTGGTGAGGTCAACAAAGGTTACATAGAGACCTTTGTTCTGTTCCCTACACTTCTCTTGCAGTTGTCTGAGAACAAATACCACGTCTATGGTGCTCCTGTTGGCTCTGAAACCACACTGACTTTCAGGTAGAATTCCTTCTGCTATAGTGGTTATTAGTCTGTTCAAAAGTATTCTTGCCAGGATTTTGCCAGCAATGGAGAGCAGAGTAATACCACGGCAATTTGAACAGTCTGATTTATCTCCTTTCTTCTTATACAAAGTGATGATGACTGTATCTCAAAGGTCTGATGGTAGTTCACCTAGTTCCCAACAGCGCACCACAAACTCGTGAAATTTAGCATGGAGTGCAAGGCCCCCATGTTTCCAGACTTCGGGTGGAATTCCATCAACCCCAGCTGCCTTGCGGATTTTCACCTGCTGTATGGCCTTGAGGGTTTCTCCTAAAGTGGGGGCAGTATCCAATTCGTATTTCACCGGTTGTTGTGTGATGGACTGAATTGCTGAGTCTTGGACTACACGGCTGGTACTGAAAAGAGTCTGAAAGTGTTCAGACCATCGATTCAGAATGGAGGTTTTATCTGTTAGAAGCATTTAACCATCAACGCTGAGTAGAGGACTTTGGACTTGGTATGCTGTTTTCAGGGCCTCATAGAATCCTCTGTGATCACCCGTATCTGCACATAATTGAGTTTTTCAGCTAGATCGATCCACCACTTGTTCTGGATGTCACGGAGTTTCTGTTGGAGTTTGCTGCATGCAAGACGAAAGGCTGCTTTTCTTGCATGACAGGATGGCAGTGCAAGGTGTGCTTGGTGGGCGGTTCTCTTCTTCCTCAACAAATCCTGGATTTCTTAATTGTTTTCATCAAACCGGTCCTTGTTCTTCTTGAAGGAGAACCCTAAGGATTCTTCAGAGGACTGCAGGATGCTGTTTCTAATATGGTGCCAAATTGTTTCAGGAGAGGAATCTGCAGAATCTGTGGAATGGTTTTCAAGCCTAGTTTGAAGGTTTGCCTGGAATCTGTCTCTTACTGTGGCTGATTGGAGATTGTTAACATGGAGTCTTCTCCTTGGGATACTACCCCTTTTAGGTTTGAATTTGAGATTGAAATTGAGTTCACAGCGCACAAGCCGATGGTCTGTTTGGCATTCTGCACTGGGCATCACGTGGGTGTGGTGGACATCACGGACATCTCTCCGTCACACCGAAACATAATCAATGAGGTGCCAGTGCTTAGATCTGGCATGCATCCAGGTTGTCTTCAGACTATTTTTCTGCTGAAAGATAGTATTAGTGATGGTGAGCTGTTGCTCCGCACAGAATTCTAGCAGAAGTCGACCATTATCGTTGCAGTTTCCAACACAATGCTCGCCTAATATTCCTTTCCAGGCTTCAAAATTCTTACGTACTCTGGCGTTGAAATCACCAAGGATAATGATCTTATCATCTGCAGGCACCTTTTCGGTAAGGAGGCGCAGGTCAGTGTAAAATTTATCTTTTTCAGCAGGGTCAGCTTGGAAAGTTGGGGCATATATACTAAAGAGGACGACGTGTTGCTTGTTGTGGAGTGGAAGGCATAGGGAGATAATGCGGTCAGAGTGACCTGTCAGCAGATTTTCGAGTTTAGGAACAATAGAGTTTTTGATCATGAAGCCAACTCCTAAGAGATGCTTTTTGGTTCTGGGCTTACCTGACCAAAAGAGTGTGTAACCGGCACCATGTTCTCTGAGGCTTCCTTCTTTGTGAAGGCGAACTTCACTGAGAGCAGCAATGTCGATGTTGAGACGTGACAGTTCATGGGCAATTAGGGCAGACCGATGCTCAGGACGTCCGCTCTCTGCAGAATCAAGCATGGTTCTGGTGTTCCAACATGCTAGAGTTAATTTAGGTACACCTTTGGAGGCAGGTACATGCCTTTGTCTTTTGATCTTTGTGTGACTGCATTGGAGGAAGATGCCCGTTGGCCTGCAGTTAACCAACCAGGTGAAAGTGGAGATGAGCTTTGTTTAGGCCACCTTTTCTAGGCCCCTCTCCGAGTGGAGCAAGCAGTGCTGTCCTTGAAAAGGCTGCTTGGTCATTCAGGGTCCTGCCCCAAGAGACTGTCATCTCCGGTCAGTCTCAAATGACCAATATCCTGAACCGCCTGCATGCAGGGTTGGGTCTGCGGCTTCCAGTGCACCTTTCACTTGCCGTTTCGACCCTCGCCCGTCGCTACAGGACTTTTTGCATGTGGGTAAAGCCTTCAAGCCTGCGCAATGGAGTTTTTAGGTGAGGTGCAGTATGCGTGGAACTGAACCCACCCTTTAATCCTAAGGTTCATCTGCCAGGGCTGAGCAAGCTTGGATGGTGGCAGTGAGGTCCTCAGGATGTAGGTTTAATTAGAGTGACCTTCTCTTAGATGGATGGCCTTACAGGGCTAAGCAAGCTCCATCTGCCCAGCTTTGGGATTAGAGTTGTCCTTCTCCTAGGATGACTACCAGAAGGCTAACGAGCTCATCCTGCCCAAGAATGTAGTGTATCTGGTCCTACGGTTTTGACCTGTCTGGCATGGGCGACCCTACCGAAGGCATGTACCATCGCCAGTGTAGCTCGCAACCACGTGGGGTACACAGGCTTCATTCCTATTAGAACGATTCGGGCATATCTTACATTTCCTACTTTGCTATCACCTATCTATATACAATCTCAGTGAAATACCCAGGAACAACCCTTTGTCCTGCCCACCCTTTCAGGATGTAACAAAGCAAAGCAAATATATCCAGAACATGCCGAACCTGGGCAGTAGCCGCAGGTGAACCAAAACCTAACAAACAGACAAACCGTTCTGGCCCCCGTACCCATCCAAGGCTGGGGTGCCTTTCAAGGCCCCAGCCCGTCCGGGACCCCCAACATTCTAAAAGAACCCATTATCCACCCTGACCTTATCCTTACCCCACTGTGTTGCCGCATATCTACAGGTGCACTGCTCACCTGCAACATTTCATACAGGATTGCCCCGCTCGCATTCCCACCAGTCTGAGAACCCCCATGGCCCGCTCGACACCCTTCCCCTCCCTTAAACCTGGAACAGCAAACCTCTGTATGCTCTGAAACTCCCCATTCCTCTTCCACACAGGCGCCGCACCTGCCAGTGAGGCTCCGCCTCTTTCTCTCCTTTCTCCGGACAGGGTCAGGGCGGGGGCTGCCGGCGGCCGCAGCACAGGGGCAGCCAGGGTGTCCCTGGAGCCCAGTGGGCCTCAGGTACGCGGGGGCAGCCCGCCGGACAAAAATCAATAAAGCCATAGTGAAACTACAGAGGTGATTGTATCATATGTTCAGTGCATCAGTTACAAAATCCAGTTAAACTACCCTTTTTGGTGAACTGCTGCAAGAAAGAAATTATGCACTATTGCACCTTCCACAGTTACTGAGAATGTATTTGGCCTCTTTTGGCTGATTTTGTTTGCTAATTGAGTCCACTTAAATATTTATAAATATCCAAATTGCCCTTACTGCTGTCTACCATCAGTACAGTCATTTGCAGAACCACTGGAAAGTCAGATGGGTTCTTTTTTTCTGTTTCTAAATCTCAGTTGTATGCTGATTAGCGAAGACTGACATCTTGTATATCAAGAGCTACCAGCTCTTCATAACTCCTCTTTTTTTTTTTTCCCCTGACATTTGGGAATGTAGCAGGAACAGAGCAGCCCCACAGCTGCTGAAAATTCATCTCTTTAAACATATATGCATTATTTGGGTTAAGTCACTCATTCATCTTCCTTTTCAGCAACTGCATTATAACTAAAACTAAAAACTGTGAACATCCTCCCCCTTGACTACATGCAGATGGCTGACTTCTGCACCAGAAACCTTGGCCTTTTTTCCTAAGCTGAGATTTTAGCTGCTAAAAGGTGTTACTCATTGCTGGTATTAAATCCCAGCCTGACTTTCTGGGCCCATATTTCCTGAAAAGTATTCTAGTCCATGGTGACCAGGGTGCTCGTGATTTGTATCCCAGCCTGTTCAGATCCGTCATGGTTTCTCCTACCTACATTTTTTCAGCCCATTCAGAACTTCCAGATCCTCTTTCCTTTCCTATTCTAAAGGTTCAGGATTTTCTTTTAATTCCTCATGACCCTTTTAACTCTCATTTATTTTTTTGTTGGAAAAGTGTTTGTGAAGAAAATATGAAAGTGAGACATATCATTGTTCGTACATCATCAATATGAAAAATGGGAAACGCATGCAATTTTAGAATATTATTATAAAATGTATGACATAAGATTACTTCAGAGTTCTCTAAACTCACCTTTTTTTAATTTACTCAGAAAATGTCCTGTTACTCTCAGTGCTGTCTTTGTAATATTATTTGTATATTATTGCTGGGGGGAAAAACAGTATTAATTGTATAAAATCAGTTATTTTCTCTGAAAACTGAGGTAGAATTGGTTTTATTCTATGTTTATTTCAATTTCATTAATTGATCCTTGATACTTCTGGAAAAAAGTAATTCAAAGAATTTGTATAGAATATATTTGGTAATTGGTCTATTTATCTTGATTCATAGCTAGAAAAATAGATAGAAAAATTCATAGATAGAAAAAACAGTGATACCTGTTTATCTGTGTGTTTGTATGTGTTTGCACTTGTGTTTGTTCCTAACTTGAAGAGAATTCTGAAATATAGGTCTTTTACAAGGTACATGAAAAACTGCTTTTCAGGATTTATTTTCCACATTATTCAGTGCATACAGGAAACTGTCCTAACCATCTCTACCAGCTGTATATTTCAATCCTTTAATATCTTTACAGCTCTGATAGCCATTGGGCGATACAGCATGACAATAGAGACAGTGGATGTTGGATGGTGCAAGGAGATCACGGACCGTGGAGCCACCCAGATTGCACAGCGCAGCAAGTCTCTCAGATATTTAGGACTGATGAGGTGTGATCAGGTAAGAGGCATTTGCATGAGCTGGTTCCTCTTTCTGAGTGTGTATGAGAGTCTTCATGTGTGTGAGTAAGTGAGGGAGACAGGGGGGTTTGGTTTTATGTACGAACTGGTTTGGTATTCACTACTCTAGTAACTCTTTTCAGTGTATTGTGTTCATGTATTTAGCTAAGAGAACAGAACTAAAGGGAGCATTATAAATTTCTACTGACACAGATTTTCAAAATACACCCACAGGCTACACCCACAGCCTTAGGTGCTCACAAAGGTTTCTGTAAAATCTGCCCTCTGATGGTTTTGAATATTTTTGTTTAAAAGTGATTGGTATGTCGTGTTATTATTACAACAGAGTACTTTGTTTTTTAAAAAGGAAGGGGGGGAACCTTTAGCATTACTTCCAGAGTGATTTAGTGATTTTCTGTCATATATCTGTGTTCTTGCTCATGTGTAATGGTTTTGAAAACAGAAGAACAAAGATATGGATAAAACCATAACTCTAAATAGAGAAAAAAATACTGAGTTTCTTATATACAGCTTTCCTACGTGGAACATATTAAGAATGTCTGTAAGTTTTAGCACTTTATCATTAGAAGTAAAGAGGACAAGGCAGTCCAGCTCCACCTCACCTTGTATATAACCTTCAGGAAGCAGATCCCTGTTTACAGAAGAGAGATCAAGAGGCCTGTCAGCAGAAATAGCTAAAAGAAAAGTCATTGGAGGTCCAGAGTCTCTGGTCATAAGTCTTCAAATACACCTGCAGGGATTTATTCTTTTCCAACCATCATCAATGAAATGTCCAGCTTGTGATGCCCATCGTAAGCACGTCTCTCAGGCTTGTGGATTTCTGATTGGATACAACCTGTGGAAAAGCGGGTTTCAATCTAAGAAACTTGATGCTCAACACCATTACCTTGCATTGCTCACACTGCACTACAGAAGACAATGACAGAACCCAGTGTCTCAAATGGCAAGGAATAATAATGTCGAGGTCACTTGTAGAGTTAGAAATAGCATTTTGCAAAGCCAGCCTTAGGCAGTTTCCAGTTTGAGAGAAGGTTGAGCACTTTGGAAGAATTGCTCTGTCTATCAAAGCTGAGTCCACTTAATCTCCTAAACATTAGTGTTTTATAAGAGCCAATAGACAAAAGGAGTATGTGAGTCTCTTTGATGGATTGTGCTAAGATTATGTACTCAGAAAATGTTCAAAGGGTAACTTGACCTTGGGAATTAGATCTGACCCCGAATCACCGAATCACTTCTACATGTATATTTATTTTGTGAATTTAGCTAATGTTGAACAGTCAACAAGGATCTAACAAGTGCAATAATTTTATCCTGTCTTCAGCTGCTATAGAAAATCAATGATCTTGATGCTGAAAACAACTTTTACTACCTCATAAGCTAAACTATATGTACTACAGTCTGTATTCTTCTAATTGGTGGTTAATGCTTTTCTAGTTCTTTACAGAGGAGTATACACCATCTTTTGTGTTATGAAAGGCAACTGCTGAAAGGAAAAAATATATTTTTTGAGAAAGCTTTAAGGAAGATAAAAAAGTAATGTTGACTGTGTGCATGCAGGTGTGTGTGTGCGCATTAGCAATTATTTAAAGTATAGCAGTTAGAACATGTTAAGAAATGAGTAAATACTGTTACAGCAAACACTGTAGTAGTGGGACTACCACTGGGAATTATTTTCTTGCTTGCAATGGCTTGATGGGAAGAATAGCTCCACAGACAGAATGAAATAAGTATCCTCGACTTAAGGGGTTTTTGGCAGCTAGAAGATACCAACTCCCTTTTTCCACTGCAAACGAACAGAGAAATTACTGAACAAAATCATGTCCTCAACTGTCTCTTCCCAGTATCATGCAGAACTAATTTTTTCCAGTGGCTGCTCTATTAAATTAAAAATGTCAGTGCCCAGCACATCATTAAAGAGAATTCTTGGGTGGTGCAGAAGGGTTTATTTACATGCCCCATTGACTGAAATTCTTGTCTTTGTACTGTTGTCAGCTTGCAGCGTAGAGAGGGTTAGAAGATTTGTCCCTTCCTTTTCTATGGTACTGACTGTTATGCTAGTATCAGGTAGCTTTTATGCCTTTCTAGGAATTCCCAGGCATTGGAGGGGAAGTACTTAAACACAGTTACGTAAGGAACATATGTAAGTAGACTTCAAATGACTACCACTAAAATACTCTTTATGAGCCAGGCTCTTTGGAATTTCTTTGATACGCACTTGACATAAATTAGAGGCGTCAAGGGTCCTCCCAAGAAAGATCAAGAGAGGCTGCAAGCCTGGGTAAAGGCAGGCTCTGTTTTATGCCATTGATTATCCGAGTGCCTCCAGGCAATGTGTTTCAGTAGATGCAGAACATTATTGATCCACACCATGAAAATAATCAAATTATTCATTTTTCATCAAACTGCTATTGCCATGACCTTTCTTTTTATCATTTGTCTACCATCTAACATGCACACCACAGGAGCAATATGATCTTTGCTTTAAAATAGATGACATTGTGTTGAGAAATCTCATAAAAAAAAGCTGACTTTAGCATGAGGTCATCATAATGGGGGCCCATATTTCAGTTGGAACTGTATCAGATAGGGATATGTCTGAGATGCTATGATCGAGACCTCCAAAAGTATTAAAGCGTTCAGAAAATAGACCCTAAACATTTTTAAGTGCATATATTTTGGACAATGAAATTCCCCAGTTGTCTGCATACCAACATCAACACGTGCTGAAAAGCAGCTAGGACCCTTCTTCTCCCTTTGATCTCTCTGACTGTACAGGGTATCAGCTCTGTGCAAATATGTGTGCATGGGTCTGCACAGGTGCTTGGGACTGCACAAGTCATGTGTTTCATAAAAAGAAAATGTTGCCATTTTGAGTCTTCATTTCTTTTGAAAGCAGTAAGAGATAAAATCAGTAGTTATTTAAGGCCTAAGCAGGAAGGACATTTTAAAGGTCTGTAATTGGAAAAGGCATAAAAAACAGCATATTTCTGTTTTGCATTCTGGGGTTGTGCCCTGCCCTGCTCCCAGTGGCAGTGAGCCAGGATTCATTCCTTCATGTCTCCTCTTCCCAGTGCTCTGGCAGCACAGGGAAACCACAAGCTCCTCAGTTTCCCTGCAGAGTGTTGTGCTTTTGGGGCTACAGTCCGAGGTTGTATTTTAGGACTTGATGTGGGTATTTGGAAGCACATAATGACTTTGTGTACAATTTGTCTTATTTTCCTGATTTGTCACTCGCTAAATACCAAGAAAAGCACAGATTTGTCTCCATAGGAAGGAGTTCTATTCAGTTCACCTCAGTTTAGTTCCCCTATAGCAGAAAGAGAATATAACTGTTCTTCCAACCAAATTTTAATTGTGGCTCTGTATTTTATATCACGACTTAGGAAAGTGTGTATTTTAAAGTAGAATTGATCCTTCCCTTTAAATATTTGAAATACCTTGGGAGACATGGGCGGTTACAGGATACTTCTTTCCTCCTACAAACACTGATGTCAGAATTCCTAAGAACTTTACTTGTATCCTGAGGGCATAAAATGATGCCTACTTCAGAATAACAGATTTAAATGCAAGTTTCAAACTTCTTTTTGTGGACACATTTCTATACATTCCTACCCCTAAACTGAGCTGTGTCATATTTACTTACTGTAGTTACTTAATAAAATATTTTGAAATATTTTGTGTTTCACATTTTTTTTAAATGGAGGAAGAAGATGATGTTCTCTATACTATTTATTGCTAGAATTCATTTGAAAGATGTGTTTGTGGCACTTCTTTCTTGTGCTCTCGCAAATGAAACAGCTTTAATAATGGCAACTTGAAATCTTCACCCTTGGGAAGATGCCTGGGTGTCAATTAGGAGATAGGGGCTAAAAACTTCATCAGTTTTTGTGGGTAGTAGCTTGACTGGTTGAACAATGTGACAGAATAATCTTCCCAAAACTTTTCTCACACAGATTTTCGTATTTCAAGATCCTTTTCCTATAACTGCAGTGCTTTTTGCAATGATTATCAGCAGTGCTGCCATGTAAATGCAGGAAATGTTTCTTGGGGAAATATGCAGAAAAGTGTCACTAAAAAACAGAGGCCACAAAATTCATTCATGTGTGAATGAAATGAAGAGAGTCTGACAAAGTTGGCTCTGAATGGATACACAACTTGGTTAATAAATCACATTGGCCTTTATTCCTTGCTTTCTTCTCGTTTTTTCTTTGCTTTTTTTTTTTTTTTTTTTTTGAGATGAATTTCACAAAAAAAAGACATGGTTGCTTTTCATGAAAATACTTCTGAAAGCCTTTAGCTTATTCCAGATGACTTTCTCAGATGAATTGTAGCATGTATTTCCTATTCAAGTTTTACTGAGATATTAGCACAGAAATTGATGGTCAGTACAACTGACAGAAAGACAAACTCTTTTATGTTACCACAGAGAGGAAGGAAGATAAATGATCCCTAAAAATAAAAATGGTCTGTTAAGAAATCATTTACATCTTAAGTAAGCATAAGATTTTTAGAAAATCAGTAGAGTTTTAATATAATTTATTACTTTGTCGTTTTATAAAACCTTTTTTAGAAATATATATAAATATATATTCTTTGCAGACTGCAAATCAGTAGCCTAACTGGGATGCAACTCCTGTTGTTTATGAGAAATGTTTTTACCCTTCACTCACAGATTTTAATTTACATGGCTAGTCTGTAACTGAAGGTAAGTGAAAAAGAGATAATATTCTAAGTTCTAGAGATACATCTTTAAATTTCAAATACATTTTTGAGCTAAACTCTTCTTAATCAATGGTAGAACAGTGAGAGTACAAAGCCATGGCTTGTTTTAATATAATTATCATAGTAATTTGCCTTCCACCTTCAGAAAATGCTATCATTAGCCTGATAAGAAAACCTGACAAATTGCTACCATTTCTTCTTTTATATTTAAGGGGTTCATTTTGAGATTTAAAATTATGGTTTTGTAATTTGAAGAGG